TAAATATGTTTTATTTTGTATTAACAAATATATAATGATAACATTTATAAAGAATATTTTTACACTTATAAGATATTATAAAAAATATGATTAATGAGACAGAAAATATATAAAATAAATATAAGGTAATATATAGAATATAAGATACATAAGTAAAATATACATAGAATATAAAACAAATAATTGCTCGAATATAAAAAAAAATGATTGCTTGAATATTTTTAACTTTTAAAAACAATTCATATGATATTAAAATAACAAGTTATTATATCAGTAATTTATGATCAATATTGATAAGCATATACACGATTTCCGCTATATAATTTTTATATATATACCTGTTCGATTTATAAATATCTCTTTCTTCATGTTTTATCTTAATATAAGATTTTATCTTAATATAAGATTAAAAATAATTTTCTTACTATTATAAAAAAAATATTTCGTAAAAATAATTAAAGAACTCGTTAAATAAATACGATTCATTAATCGTCTGATTAGATAAATTCAATATCAGATTGATTTAATTCATATTTAATTTAGATAATTTATACACTTTAAACATTTTAAACTTTTTTGCAATTTTTCTGATGTTCTTACGCAAAAGATGTTTGTACGATATTACCATTTGTACTTTGTCTTCTTAATATTTCTCTAGCTGAGATATACATAGACTTAAAAAAAATTGTTACTTATTTATGAGCTGAATCTTTAATATACAATCTATACAGATTATATTGTACAATCTATCTCTTTGCGTATGACGTAAAACGTATAAGAAATGGCTGTATAAATTATATGTATTAAAGACTCAGCTCATGAATAAATAACAATTTTTAATCAATGTTACAATATATAATAAAGTATGATTAATATTTATCTAATTAATATATACATATATATATATATATATATATATATATATATATATATAAATTAGATAAATATTAATCATACTTTATTATACATTGTAACATTGATTAAAAATTGTTATTAATTCTGAGAATTGAGAATATTGTATGATGTGCATGTTTGTGATATATTAAGATTTCTAATAACATAAATACTTTCTCTAGAAAAATTTCCACTTGCAGTATTACTTCTACAGATATAAAATAGATTATTATTAAATAATCTTTCATAGCATGATTATAACATTTTATCATAATTTTGATTATTGATGATTAATCATTTATGAAAGATTTGATGATTAATCATCTATTATTTAATTCTCTATAATAATAATTATTATTTTATAAGTCACTTCGTAATTTAATTTATATCATAGCAAAAGTATTTTTTCTAACATATCGTGTGTGTGTGCATATATAATGTGTGTATGTGTACCCGTAGTTTAGTTTTAATTTTAAGTACACTTAAAAATGACACGCGTTCTTTCTGAAATTCAACTTGGATAAATGGTGTGTGCATACGTACGTGTGTGTAATTCCTTAAATGAAGTCGGAAGTGTCCATTTATGGAAAACGCAATTCCTATGCTTTGTCATCAATTCTTTCATCACGAAAAACGTTCAAGCGCATACGTGCGGCCTCTTTCATCGTCATGTAGGTAGAAGTTTGATTCGGTCGATGACACAACGTCATACACGCAACTCTTTTCCATCGTGCTTCGAACATTGACGAGTGAGCGACGAGTGTCACACTTGGCGCCAGGGTGACTTCCAGGGTGACGCACCGCAACAACGTTCGAAAGAAGAAAACAAAAAGCGAAGGAAGTAGGAGGTGCACGCAATAAAAACGATATGCGTGAGCGGACGGGATGACGGACAAACAGACGGGGTGCAACGAGGTCACGTGCATCGGCAAGAAATAGAGAGAGTGACGAAGGATGCATTCTCGATGAAGGCACTACTGCGGAGCGAATGACAATCCGAATTTCCGTCGTTGTACGAGCGGCTCGTGCATTTTTTTTTACAGATACGCCCGGATGGCGCCGAAACCATTGATTAAATCCCGGCGCCGACCCATTTTTCCTCTCTCGGTGACCTGTTCCTCTCTTCTTCCCCGATTTTCCCGATTCTCCCTTGCCGCGCGAGTCTCGTATGCGCGAACTTTTTGGCAACTCGTATACGTTCATGTTATTGCTGCACCGATTGAGAATTACAGGGATCATTTGACTTCAACTAATCCATATAAACATCATTCTCTTGCCGCGTAGTATCTATCGCGTGTTTTAAAGCTGAAAAAGTCAGCACTCGATAAAACACAAATGCGACACATGTCGTTCGCGGATTCCTCCTCGATACTGATATTGTAATATCAATTAAATCTTTTAATATGTATAGATATGTCAATTAAATGTTTCAAATTTTATTTAAAAAACTAAATAATGTGCTTCTTTTTAGAATTTGTTGTTCTCTTAATCAAGTATGATATGTATGAAGAGAAATATATATATATATATATATATATATATATATATATATATATTTCTCTTCATATATATATTTCTATCGAACTTTTCATGTCTCGTCAACGAAGGCAAGAGATCCAAACACAAATTCAATTCCCAAATGGCCCAAAATATCATACGCATCGGTCAGTTATAAAAGTAGATCCACCATCATTTATCACTTCTACCTTCATTCGCGCATAATAATAATACGATAGCTACAGTCGACTTATCAGGAAAAACTTTATAACTTCAACAACTTTGAAACGATTTACTTAAAGTTGATAAAATTAGTGCTTTGAAAAGATCTCGAGAAGGACTACAAAAATATGTAATAAAAAATGGAGGATCCCATTTCAAAAATTCAAGGTGGCCTTGTTGTGACTTTGGCGATGCCATCTGAAGTCAAACACATGGCGTCAGTAAATAGACCTTTTTACACCCTACAACTTTTGTTTGAAACAATTTTTGTAAAACTTCTATTTTTTGTGATATTTCGAGATCCCGACTCTTTCAATCACTCTGTATGCCGTAGCGATGTAATGACATGTTTCCGACCACAGGTTCATTTGCAAAAAGTGATTCTTAGTGGTACCTCCGACAAATGAAAATTTCCGAACACCCTGTATATATTTCTCTTCATATATATCATACTGATTAATTTCAGTGCCAAATATAATCAGTTATATCGATATTGATTGCCATTGTTATCAATATCACTCTCACTCTTTTAAAAGAGAAATATAGGGGAGAATTCAAATGGATTACAATAAGCACAATTTAGTCGTGGAATAAAAAAGTTTTAAATTACATTAAATTTTTTTTGTATGATTTTATAAGATTATATATACATATGCTTGTGATACTCAAATACGTACAAGGTCAAAAAGTGTGCGAAATGGGATTTTGTTGCACTGCGATTTTGATGAAGGATATCATTAACGTCTCCCTTTACATTCTCTATTTACCTTTATTTCCATATCAAATAATATTTTACACTAACATTTATGGGAAAATGAAAGAATTAGGTGCACAGAAGAACCATTCTCTCATCGTTTTGTCTGTGACAATAATTTTATAGTAACAACTGCGACAATGAAAATGAAAATTGATGAAAATATAACACGTCTTTATGACGTTTAAATAACGATTGAACTATAAAAGGATATTGTTAAAGAATTTTAATTTTTCTCCTTTTTACGTTTTTATAGTAATTTGAATTTAAATAAATTTATATTGATATTTTGATAAATTTATAGTGGTTAGAGAAACTAGCAAATCAACATATACATATATAAATAATAATAAGAAAAGTATAAAAATGAAAATATAATAATATTTCGTCTTATTTATTTTTTTCTGTTTTTAATGCTACTATTTAAAATTTATAAAAATATATATGCTATAAAAATTTATTAAAAAAATATACATCTTATAATTTAAAATAAAAATATAATATATAAAATATTACTTTTTATATAATATAGATAAACGATCTTGAAAACTGTATTCTAAATGATCATATCATAAACTTGTGATTGATTATTAATTTCGTTAGTTTTTCAGAATTCTTTGATACATCGAGCACACTTACTAAACAATTGTAAAACATTGTATTTGTAAATTATTAACAATATCTCGTCAATGTATGTGTTAATCTATGTGTACATGTATACAAAATATTTTTATTGCAAATATGTTTTATATTTTTGACTGTAGATAAATTAAATGCGGTACGAAAGCAATAAATGAAATAAATAATTTTAATACCTATTTATTTTTAATACCTGCATTGAATGATGAATATTATATTATTTTGTTTTGAATATTATATTATTTTGTTTTATACTCGTATATAAACTAGTATTTATATGTGTATATATTCTAAGAGACATGCTATAGATTACTTAATATAAAAAGTAATAACTCGTCAAAACAATTACGCAATTTGAACGTATACGTAGTTCGCAATGCAAAATTTATTCTCGACTGTCTCTCAAGCAGAGACACAAACAATTTTATTATCTTTAAGACTACACATTAGAATAGAGATTGTAATATTTTGTTATGTTATATATTATGTGATTTTAATTATATAAAATCATACAACAATTTCTCCAATTATTGATATAACAATTACAAAATGTCGATACATTAATTATTATAGAACTAATTAATATATTCATAATGCTAGTATTAATATTAATAACAAAGTACACATTTACTATATATTTATATATTTATATTTACTATATATTTACTATATATTTATATTTACTATATATTCGCATATTATAGATATAACACTTTTACAAAAATATAAATTCTTTATTTCATACTAAAAATAATAACTTAATAAATTATTCAAAAATTCGAAGTTGAAGATTTTGATATATAATATTCATTATTAAGAAAACGAGTTAATTGAAGAGCATTAAGCAAAGCGTAAATTTTTTTTAATGATCATTAATCATTTATGTCGCACATTTAAGTATCTAATTTGGACTATCGTTAGCAACTATTACAAAATTATATAAAGCTATAATGTGTGGAGAGATTCTTTTATATAAATATAAAAATTTAAGAACTCCACATAAATATATACATTAATTAGGCATATTACGATAGTAATATATAAATTACTACTACAATTAAAAAAGTGATAATTGATAATTATCACTTCGATAAAATTAGTATGATAGTTATTACTACGATAATGTGTATCATAACAAATAGCAGGCAACATATTTTCTTACCACGGGCTAAAACATAAAAAAGTTTTGTTATAATGAAATAAAGACAAAAAAAATTGATTATGATTTGCATGTGATTTAAAAATTCCCAAATTTAATAACACACATTTAATGCATCGATAGACAATAATATATGCATATCCATCATAATAAAAGTCATTATTAATATGACAATTATACACAACCAATATAAATTAATTGTTAAGAATCTAAAATTATTCACAATAGGTGAAAACGAATAATTATTTCGCACTAATTTTTTTTAAACATTTTAAAATTAAACGTAAAATTTGGTGTCTCTAAAAATATAAGTTTAAATAGAATTTCTTTCTCAATTTTGTAATATTTTGCTTCCTGCATGTATTAGATATATGTATATCAAGTCTTGATAATACCGTGATTAATTAATATCTATAGTTCATTTAAACTTACCTTTGTCGTTTTTTACAGGTTCCATTATTATTATTCTTTGAGGAATGTTTGCGGTTGGAGTTTCAAACGATATTATTGATACATCTGATGGAGTATAACGTGGGGGTGCACTATTCAGAATATAATTCGATTGTGACTCCGTGTACGGAGGTGGTGCAGATGGTAATGGTCTATCCATCACAGACATGTTTGATTTATACTATATGATCGCTAGATTATAAAGTTATGATGTTCATAACTTCAGAATCTAAAAGGAAAAGGAAAAATAGAATATATTATCGCTCTTGAAGAATAAAAATAGAATTTATACGTGAATATGCGTTAATCAATAACAATAATCAATATAATGTGAGAAGATATATAAATTGAAAATACTAATAATTTCAATTAGAGAGACGTTTATACGTACGTTTATAATAAACGACACAATAATTTTATAATAATATTAGAGTAAATAGATAAATGCATTTATTAAAGTATATTAAATACTTATTGGAATTGGAGTATGTTATTAATTAAATTAAAAATTTTATAAATTGCAAAATAATTAATAATATATAAATATGTTTATAGATACATTTTACATATTGATGGTAGATCAAACTTAAAAAATATAGATACATGTGTTATGATCTAATTTGTTATTAATAATTATAAAGTTTTCACTGTTTTGAAACAGACAATACATATTTCTTTCTTAACATCTTTATATCTTTACATTAAAAGCAACAAAAAGGGAAAGAAACAGGAGAAAGACACAGCAATAAAAGATATATAGCGATAATAATTAAAGAAGATAAATATAATAGCTTTTTACGAGATATACATACATACATGTATACATAAAGTACGTTTGTTAAATTTACGTATCTTATTTATTTCTTATAAGTTGTAAATTTTTATCTCTTTTAATTCTTTTATCTATCTTTTATCTTAAAATCGAGTTGCTTGTATTGTAAAGTATGATTGGATTAACTCTAGAATATTCTATATATTTTATATTATAATGTTAGAAATAAATAAAATAAATCAAATCGTAAACATAAAAAGAAATTTACTATTATATCTATAGTGTGTATATTTGATTTTTGTGATAATGTTTTCCAGCATACAAATGATGGTGTGCAATCAGACAATATATACTCATATGCCTGCGAAAAGATTACAAAAACATTCAAACAGTTAAATTATGATTTCTTAATATCGCTTGAATCTAATTTGAAATAAAAGTCAAATATTTTGGTTAGGTAATATTATCATATTGCATAATAATATTTTAAAACTATATCATGAATTTAAATAAATCATTATAACAATTATGAATTTTTAAAATTTATTTCTTCTTTACACGATATTAAATATTGTTCAATGAATATTATTTGTTAATACGATTGATAAATACGACAGTAATATTAATTTTTTTAATTATTAGTTGTAGTAATTTATTATGAGGGAGATTTATCGCAATGCTTATAATTTGTTGTAAATATATTAATTCAATCTCTTATGCTATATATCAATTAAAAATGTTACGATTATTTTTAATGATTGCTTCAATGATTATTTTTAGTAATTGCATTTATAGAGTTCAAAGAGGTTACTCGTATAAAACTTATTAAAGTAAAATTTTTCTGTTTCAAAATATGCAAATGTATTAGCAACTCTATCTAAATTAATTCATAATAGAAATTAAATAAATAAATTTATTTTAAAGAAAATTATATTATGATATTTTAAAATTACATATTAAAATAGACAATACTCACTTTTTCTTAATGTCTCCTTTTTAATGCAGGATTTTAGCCTATCTCTGAGTTGCCATTCAAGCACTGTACATGTATCATTTCAGTGCCAAATATAATCAGTTATATCGATTGATTGCCATTGTTATCAATATACCACTCTCACTCTTCTAAATGAGAAATAGAGGGGAGAATTCAAATTGATACAATAAGCACAATTTAATCGTGGAATAAGAGAGTTTTAAATTGCATTAAATTTTTTTTGTATTAATTTATAAGATTTTATATTTATAAGAATTTTATAAATTAATACAAAAAAATTTAATGCAATTTAAAACTCTCTTATTCCACGATTAAATTGTGCTTGTTGTAATCAATTTAAATTCTCCCTTTCTCTTTTTCTCATTTAGAAGAGTGAGAGTGATATATTGATAGCAATGGCAATCAATATCGATATAACTGATTATATTTGGCACTGAAATGATACGTGTGCAGTGGTTGAATGGCAACTCAGAGATAGGCTAAAATCGTGCATTAAAAAAGAGACATTAAGGAAAAATAAGTATCGTCTATTTTAATATGTAATTTTAAAATATCATGATATAATTTGCTTTAAAATAAATTAATTTATTTAATTTCTATATAAGTATTTTTATTATAAGTTAACTTAGAGTTGCTAAGTTCATGCTGATACATTTGCATATTTTGAAACAGAAAAATTTTACTTTAATAAGTTTTATACGAGTAATCTCTCTCTCTCTCTCTCTCTCTCTCTCTCTCTCTCTGAACTCTATAAATGTAATTACTAAAAATAATCATTAAAAGCAATCATTAAAAATAATCGTAACATTTTTAACTGATATATAGCATAAATGATTGAATTAATATATTTACAATAAATTATAAACATTGCGATAAATCTCCCTCATAATAAATTACTACAACTAATAATTTAAAAAATTAATATTACTGTCGTATTTATCAATCGTATTAACAAATAATATTCATTGAACAATATTTAAAATCGTGTGAAGAAGAAATAAATTTTAAAAATTCATAATTGTTATAATGATTTATTTAAATTCATGTTATATTTTTAAAATATTATTATGTATAATCGTGATAATATTATCCAATCAAAATATTTGACTTTCATTTCAAATTAGATTCAAGCGATTTTAAGAAATCATAATTTAAATGTTTTAAAGTGTTTGTAATCTTTTCGCAGGCATATGAGTATATATTGTCTGATTGCACATCATAATTTGTATGCTGGAAACATTATCATAAAAATCAAATATACATACTATAGATATAATAGTAAATTTCTTTTTATTTTTACGATTAAATTTATTTTATTTATTTCTAACATTATAATGTAAAATATATAGAATATTCTAGAAAAACCCAATCATTCGAATCATACTTTACAATACAAGCAACTCGATTTTAAGATAAAAAAAAAGATAGATAAAAGAATTAAGAGAGATAAAAATTTACGAATTCTTAGAAATAAATATGACTTAAATTCAACAAACGTATTGCCTTCATGTATACATGTATATCTCGTATAAAACTATTATATTTATTTTCCTTAATTATTATCGCTATATATATTTTATTGCTGTGTCTTTCTCCTGTTTCTTTCCCTTTCTATTGCTTTTGATGTAAAAATATATTTAAGAAAGAAATATATATTGTCTATTTCAAAAAAGTGAAAATTTTATAATTAGTAATAATAAATTAGATCATAATACATGTATCTATACTTTTTTAGTTTAGTCTACCATCAATATGTAAAATGTATCTATAAACATATTTATATATTATTAATTATTTTACAATTTATAAAATTTTTAATTTAATTAATAACTTACTCCAATTCCAATAAGTATTTAATATTCTTTAATAAGTACATTTATCTATTTACTCTAATATTATTATAAAATTATTGTGTCGTTTATTAAACGTGCGTATAAACGTCTCTCTAATTGAAATTATTAATATTTTCAATTTATATATCTTCTCACATTATATTGATTATTGTTATTGATTAACGCATATTCACGTATAAATTCTATTTTTATTCTTCAAGAGTAATAACATATTCTATTTTTCTTTTTTTTAGATTCTAGTTATGAACATCGTAACATCTTTATAATCTAGCGATTATATAGTATAAATCAAACATGCATGTGATAAATGAACCATTACCACCTGCACCACCTCCGTACACGGAGTCACAGTCGAATTATATTTTGAATAGTGCATCCCCATCTTATACTCTATCAGATCAATAACACCGATTGAAACTCCATCCGCAAATATATCTCAAAGTATAATAATAATGGATGTAAAAAACGATAAAAGTAAGTTTAAATAAACTATAGATATTTACTAATCATGATATTATCAAAACTTGATATACATGCAGGAAGCAAAATATTACAAAATTGAGAAAGAAATTCTATTTAAACTTATATTTTTAGAGACACCAAATTTTACGTTTAATTTTAAAATGTTTAAAAAAAATTAATGAGAAATAATTATTCGTTCTTTCCTAGTATGAATAATTTTAGATTCTTAACAAATAATTTATAGTGATTGTGTATAATTGTCATATTAAATAATGACTTTTATTATGATGGATATGCATATATTATTGTCTATCGATGCATTAAATGTGTGTTATTAAATTTGGGAATTTTTAAATCACATGCAAATCATAATCAATTTTTTTTCGTCTTTATTTCATTATAACAAAACTTTTTTATGTTTCAGCCTGTTGTAATGCTCAACTTGTTAAGATAATATGCTACATGCTAATTATTATAATGAAAATTATCATATTAATAATAGCTATCATACTTATCACATCATATATTTCTTAATTGTAGTAGTAATTTATATGTATATTACTATCGTAATATGCCTAATTAATGTATATTTATGTGGAGTTCTTAAAGTTTTATATTTATAAAAGAATCTGTCCACACATTATAGCTTTATATAATTTTGTAACAGTTGCTAACGATAGTCCAAAAGATACTGAAATGTGCGACATAAATGATTAATGATCATTAAACAAAAATTTACGCTTTGCTTAATGCTCCTCAATTAACTCGTTTTCTTAATAATGAATATTATATATCAAAATCTTCAACTTCGAACTTTTGAATAATTTATTAAGTTATTATTTTTAGTATGAAATAAAGCAAGAATTTATATTTTTGAAAAAGTGTTATATCTATGATATATATACGAATATATAGTAAATATAAATATATAAATATATAGTAAATGTGTACTTTGTTGTTAATATTAATACTAGCATTATGAATATATTAATTAGTTCTATAATAGTTCTAGAATTAATGTACCGACATTTTGCAATTGTTATATCAATAATTGGAGAAATTGTTGTATGATTTTATATAATTAAAATCACATAATATATAACATAACAAAATATTACAACATCTACTCTAATGTGTAGTCTTAAAGATAATAAAATTGTTTGTGTCTCTGCTTGAGAGACAGTCGAGAATAAATTTTGCATTGCGAACTTCGTATACGTTTGAATTGCGTAATTGTTTTGACGAGTTATTACTTTTTATATTAAGTAATCTATAGTATGTCTCTTAGAATATATATACATATAAATACTAGTTTATACGAGAATAAAACAAAATAATATAATATTCATCGTTTGATAGGTATCACAGTATATCAGATATTAAAAATAAATAGGTATTAAAATTATTTATTTCATTTATTGCTTTCGTACCGCATTTAATTTATCTAGTCAAAAATATAAAATATATTTGCGATAAAAATATTTTATATACATGTACACATTGATTAATACATTGACGAGATGTTAATAATTTACAAATACAATGTTTTATAATTGTTTAGTAAGTGTGCTCGATGTAAGAGAAATATTCCGAAAGACTAACGTAATTAATAATCATTCATACGTTTATCATATGACTCATTTAGATTACAGTTTTCAAGATCGTTTTTCTATATATTATATGAAAAGTAATATTTTATAGATTATATTTTTATTTTAAATTAATTTTAAATTAATTTTAAATTTTAAATTTTTATTTTAAATTATAAGATGTATATTTTTTTAATAAATTTATATAGCATATATATTTTTATAAATTTATATTTTAAATAGAAGCATTAAAAATAGGAAAAATATAAGAAATAAATAAGACAAAATATTATTATATTTTCATTGTTATACTTTTCTTATTGTTATTTATATATGTATGTACATGTTGATTTGCTAGTTTCTCTAACCTCTATATATTTACCAAAATATCAATAAATTTTTCAAATTACTATACAAAAGTAAAAAGAAAGAAGAAGTATTGAAGTTCTTTAATATCTTACATATCCTTATAATTATATCCTTTTATAAGTCAATCGTTATTTAAACGTCACAAAAACGTATTACATTTTCATCAATTCATTTTCACTGCCGCAGTTGTTACTATAAAATTATTGCCACTGAAAAAACGATGAGAGAATAGTTTTCTTGTGCACGTAATTCTTTCATTTTCCCATGAATGTTAGTGTAAAATATTGTGTAATATGGAAACAAAGGTAAATAGAGAATGCAAAGGGAAACGGAAGGTCAACGATATCCTTTATCAAAATCGCAGTGCAACAAAATCCCATTTCGCACACTTTTTGGCCTTGTACGTATTTTAGTATCACGAGCATTAAAGATGTTGGTCGATGAGATGTGGGCGACACGTTAAAGCTCGCAGTATAAGTAACGACCATATTTCGCAGCTACAACAAAACGTCACCCACACATGGGGGATTGTGCGCGGAGAGCGAGGTGGAAAGGCCGGCGGGTTGGCTGTGATATCGCTCGCTTTTATTATTAGCGCAATAAAACCCTGGTAACTGAGTAATAATTTAAAAGTTTGAGAGCTGTTCACAGCTCAAGTACCTTCGGCGTCGCGCCGCGCCAATAAGTGCGATCGGTAAAATTCGCGAATATTTCCCACTACAGGATCAGAATAGCGGTAACCAATGGTAGTTTGATTTTACAGACTATCCTGTATTGAACCTGGCCATTTAAAATCATGTTGAATAAATATAGATTTGGG